ATCATTACAGTAGCCTAGCCTAGTTTACTTGGTCCTTGGCAGATGCAAAACTCAGCAGATCATAGAATTGTTGAGTTGGAAGGGATCCAAGGGACATCTAGTTTAACCCCCTACAATGCAGGAATGTAACAACTCTGGACAGATAAAGGAGAGGGGACATCTGAAGGCATCTCTAAAAGGTGAGAAAGGAGGGGGGGGAAATACCTGAGATGGTTATACTGGTAGCTCCCATTTCATTACGTAGAAATCCTCCCATTCTTAATGTATAAGTTCCAGAGTCGCTCAGCCTTAAATCTGTGATGCGAAGGGAGCAGTCTGTGGCCCCAGACTCCCTCCCACTGAAGGCAGGTCCATTTTTCTGTTCAGCAAATGGACTTAGTGAATAAACAAAGATCTTATTTTTCTCTTCAGCTGCCCCTCGGTACCAGTGGCAGCTAAACAGATCAACACGTCCTGGTGTTAAGGAGACACTCTGTCCTTCCCTCAGGGTTTCTGGTTCAACTGTGATGTGTGTTTTCGTCTTGCCCTGGCCTGGAATCAGCAGGAAGGAAGAACGTGGGATGGAGGCTGCAGGATGGAGAAGAAAAAGAAAGAAAAGGGGAAAACATGGTTCTAGGCCAAGGCGATGGAGTTGCCAAAGAGTTTCAGACCAGTTTGTGCAAGTTAGCTTAAATTCTCGTTCACTGTAACTTCCCCCATCCTTCTGGAGTTTCAGTGTCGGAGTGGTAGTGATATCATCTTTGCATCATATTCATCCATCCTCTTGTTCCTGGGAGAGTGTGAATTAGGGATGCTACAGAGCCAATGAGTTGGGTCACCATGATGAGTCAATACTTTCTCTGACTCAGAATAGCAAGATCAGAAAAGGCTCCTGATGCACACTAAACCAGGCTGACTGCTGCCCATAATCTGGGCGACCTTGTGAGAGTTGCTACCTCTCAGCCTAACCTCTACCTCACAGGGTTGCTGTGGGGCTTGAATGAGCAACAGGGGAACTACAGGAGCCACCTTGAGCTCCATGTGTCCCTCTACGTCCCCCCAGAAAAAAAAGCACCGAAACAAAGTCTCAGCTCACCCACAACAAGTAGAGTTTGTGGAAACTGTGGACATCATCCTAGTCTCTCACTTAGACTTGCTTCCTATGGTTTCTCTCCTGCGTGGATTTTTTTAAATGTGAAGTAGAACTAGCCTTGTGACCGAAGCTCGTTCCACATTCTAAGCATTCAGATGGTTTCAAACCTGTGACATTTCTTTCCTGTGAGGTGGGATGATGTGCCTTGCTAATGGAGCTCTTTCCACAACCCAAGCACTGGTTTCTTTAATGCTTCATTGAGATCCGAGCTCTCTGTCTCTGGCTCTGTAAGAACCCCAGCTTGCCCCCCTAGTACTTCCCCTCTTCCCCACAGCTCCTTCACTGGAAGGTGTGGGGACACCTTCAAAGTCCTTCTCCCGCTCCACTGTTTGTGACTCCAGCTCTCTTCATTCAGATTCCCTGCCAGCAACACCTGCGGAAATGTTAGGGCAGCAGCAGGGGAACCTCAATTTTAAAATATGCACCTAATTGCATGTTTTAAAACACATTTTCTCTCAAAATAACAGCTTACTCTAGCTGGAATTCTGCAGAGCTCCATCTTGACAGCTTTTGGAGAAGTATGAAATCTGAGGGAGAGTTAAGCTCCCAGCCCCACATTAGTCTGAGAAATGCAAATAAAGTCAGCCAGCATCAGAATTGGAAGGAGCAAATCCTTTGGACATCCCCTACTCCCCCCAAGTAAGTCCTTCCCCTTGTAGGGTGCTGGTCTCTCACCTGCTAAGAGCAGCATCTGCCAGGACGCCATCCATGGCCTGCCCATCTTGCGGGCACTCTTTTTGGGGGCTTGGTTTAGGCTGCCTGTCTCCTCACAGCTGGTGTTCTGGGGTCCTTCTCTGCTCAATGCCCAGCATGCAGTGCCACTGCTGCCTCTGGCTGAGTCATTGACCACACAGAGGGGAACTGGGCAACTGAGATTTCGAGACTGGGTTTTCCCCAATAACTGCAAGACACCCATACCAGCACTCTATGCTTCTTCCTCATATGCCAAGCCAGTGCGGGAACAATTTGCTCAAATGCTTAACTTGTCAGCACCCGCCTCTCAGCTGGTAGCAAAGATGTGATCTGAGCTGAAGAACTGGGTCCAGGCAGACTGTCATACAGAGTTGGGAAGTTTAGGATTCATTATGGAAAAGGTCTAAAGCAGTGGTCTTCAAACAAATCAGGACCCCAAATCCACCTTAGACTCCCAGCCAGGAATTTGGCACCCAATTTCACATTTTCTTTACACTTAATAGTGTTAGTGTCTAGTCACACGCGAAGGCAGTGGTTCATGCCATCCTGGTGTGGCAAGAGAGGATGGCAATCATGGCAGGAAGATTGTTGTTGTTGTTTAGTCGTTTAGTCATGTCCGACTCTTCGTGACCCCCTGGACCAGAGCACGCCAGGCACTCCTGTCTTCTACTGCCTCCCGCAGTTTGGGCAAACTCATGCTGCTAGCTTCAAGAACACTGTCCAACTATCTCGTCCTCTGTTGTCCCCTTCTCCTTGTGCCCTCTATCTTTCCCAACATCAGGGTCTTTTCCAGGGAGTCTTCTCTTCTCATGAGGTGGCCAAAGTATTGGAGCCTCAGCTTCACGATCTGTCCTTCCAGTGAGCACTCAGGGCTGATTTCCTTAAGAATGGATAGGTTTGATCTTCTTGCAGTCCATGGGACTCTCAAGAGTCTCCTCCAGCACCATAATTCAAAAGCATCAATTCTTCGGCCTTCTTTATGGTCCAGCTCTCACTTCCATACATCACTTCTGGGAAAACCAAAGCTTTAACTATACGGACCACCAAAGAAACATTTAAACATTTCAGTGTAGTATAGTGGCCGCTAAGTAGTTACATTTCAGTGTAGTTATATGGCCACTGAGACCATATAACACCGGTCCTGAAAAACCTACATTGGCCCCCAGTACGTTTCCAAGAACAATTCAAAGTGGTGCTGGCCTTTAAAGCCCTAAATGGTCTTGGCCCAGTATACCTGAAGGAGCATCTCCACCCCCATCGTTTTGCCCGGACACTTTGGTCCAGCTCCGAGGGCCTTCTGGTGGTTCCCTCACTGCGAGAAGTGAGGTTACAGGGAACCAGACAGAGGGCCTTCTCAGTAGTGGCTCCCGCCCTGTGGAACACCCTCCCACCAGATGTCAAAGAAATAAACAACTATCTGACTTTTAGAAGACATTGGAAGGCAGCCCTATTTAGGGAAGTTTTAAATGTTTGATGTTTTGATCGTATTTTAATATTTTGTTGGGAGCCGCCCAGAGTGGCTGGGGAAACCCAGTCATATTATAAGCCCTATGTTATAAATCAAGCACTGATAGGTGTTGTTTCTTTTTGTTTTCCAGTGCATTTCTTATAAAAAAAAATTAAAAAATTCATTGCAGCATGAGCAAATTTTTATTTTGAAAGTGTGGCTCAGAGAACTACTGTGCTAAGGTATTGCCATACTACTCCCCCCCCCCCGATACAAGTGAACCAAGATTTCATGCATAGGTGTTTAATCTTCTGAACCCATTGAGCAGTTGTACCCTCTTTTTGATTTCTGGAAGTTTTCTCATCAGTGACACTTGTGGTTGATATGGAGCAGAGAGCAAATCATCTTCACCCATCACTGTCACCCCAGTTCACCTCACCTGGAAAGCTGGATTCTTTCGCCAGCAGCAGGAGGATGACTGCGTTCCTCTGGCTCCTCTCCCTACCAAACACCCACACACCCACCTGTGGCTCCCGACCGCCCTCTGAGCCTGCTGGACTGAGCCCAGTCCAATGAGGTAGGAGGCTGGCCCCATTGCCCTGTAGGAAGCTATCTCCCTTGATGGGATGTCAGAGAGAAGTACTAGAGCAGGGGACAGCAAGGTTTACCTCACCTGGGCCAGTTCACTCCAGTGGAGTTCCCTCCATGGGCTGGACTGTGCACACACTCGTCTGTGCAGACGCAATTTCCGGGGTCTGCGCTGTTGGCATGCAGAGGGCTGGGAGGTCAGCTGACTAGCCCGCGCTGGGCAGTCTCCTTCCAGCCATCCTGCTGTGAAGACCCTCACCTCTGCTCTGACATAAATCAGCGACCTGGGCTTACTCAGCCAGTGCACACTATCAGCTGATCGAACTGTGCACACAGAATAGGCGTGAGGCTTATGGAAGCATACTACAACTACAGATTTATTAATCATAAATCAGGACAAAGAAACAGGTCTCTCTCTGTCTCTCATCATCTCAGAGAGAACAGATAAAAACACAGCAAGCTGTGCTGGAATGTAAACAGACATGTGACACGCAACAATTCCACACGTCTGCTCCTTAAGGTGGAATGGAAATGTCAACATGCACATGCGCAGATGCAATTTTCGGCGCTACAGAAGTGAGTCCCTGCTCCGCACTGCGCTGGTTTAGTGCAGCGCATGGGGACTTGCCGAGCGAGCAGCTTGGTTCGGGGGCGGCTCGTGGGCCTTTTAAACGACTCCTGTGGGCTGCTTGTGGCCCATGGGCCTTAGCTTGCCTACCCCTGTGCTAGAGATATGGTTCTGCAGTTGATGGATAGCAAAGAGGAATGAGGAAGGAGGTCATTCTAGTCTGGAACCTGCCGGGGGGAACCAGGCAGCAGATGAGTGACCCTCACAAGAGGAGAGACTTCTTCTCAAGAATAACAGACCCTCCTCCAAGTGTCCCTATTTTCCAGGAGTGTCCCAGATTTAGAGAAGACGTCCCGGTTTCTGACTTGATCCCTGAATGTCCCACTTTTCCTTAGGACATCCCTATTTTCATTGGGGAAATGTTGGAGTTATCCGACCCCCGAGCTGTCTGAAGGCAATCCTGTATAAGGAAGGGTTTTTTTTAGTGTTTAATGATTTATTATGTTTTTATATATGTTGGAAACTGCCCAGAGTGGCTGGGGCAACCGAATAAGATGTGTGGGGTATAAATAGTAAAGTTATAATTATGGAATGGGACGTTGCTATTTTCATTGGAGAAATGTTGGAGAGTATGGAATGAGGTCTCTTTCTGGATCATGAGAACTGAACTGCAGCCATGCTTCTAAATTTTCACTTATCCAAACTTTGAAATGACCGAGCTATGAGTGCCAGAATGCATATATTAGGTGAAACTGTGCATTGAAAAGAATTGATCCATGGAAATCTCAGGAAACCATGCATCATATTAAGAGAAATTGCTTGCAAGAATTACAACATTCTTCAAAACGGCGAACAAAAATGTGTCCAGTAGGAGAAAGATGCTGGTGGGTTTTAATGAGGATTTGCCCGCTTCCTTTCTTCCCCCTCAGCGCCAATCCTTTAGACATGTAAGGTGTGATTTCAAGGATTTCAGTCCGGCCTTTTCCAGGGAGAGGTTCCCTCACGTCTCTGTCTCAGTATCTGCAAGTTGTTCCCATCATGCAGCACGAAAGTCCCTCGGGAACCAAGGCTGGCTCCTGTGTTCAGAACAAGAACTAGGATTTCCAGAAGGATTAAGCCCTGAAGAGAAAATGTCCTGGTCCCGACAATCACTTGGCAGCAGCTGAAAGGTAGAAATTTGAAAGGGAAAGAGGCTTGACGGCCCCAGAGAGGCCTCAGCAGTGGAGAGAAGGTTGCAGGGCCCATCTGTTATCTCTTTATCTCTTCGTAGACAGACCGGGTTGTGGGCTGCAAGTCCTAAAGAGAAAATGGAGATGGCTCAGGTGGAAGCCACAGACACATTTTCAGTTGCAAATTACCTTCATTCTGCATGAGGTAGGGCTCATCCATTCTCACCTTTGCACCACAATTCTAGGCACACTGGCTGGACTTACCAGGTCCAGTAGCAACAAACAACAAAGTTGTTATATTTTTCTTTTGCCTCGCCAGTATCCCCACAAAAACTTGCTTCTAACCATCGAATTGGAGCAAACGGCGATGCACAGAGTCAAAGGTGGATGTGTATAAGCCAGTCACCCCCAAACTCGGCCCTCCAGATGATTTGGGACTACAACTCCCATCATCCCTAGCTAACAGGACCAGTGGTCAGGGATGATGGGAGTTGTAGTCCCAAAACATCTGGAGGGCTGAGTTTGGGGGTGCCTGGTATAAGCCCTTTTACTGTGTCTCCTTTGCATGGAATCAGGGCCATCTTAAGCATGGGGTGCAAAGATCCGCCTGGTGCCCCCCCAGGTTGCCCAGAGTTGTCGACCTTTTTTAGAGGGGGACCCCCAAAGTTGTTGACCTTTTTTAGGGTGGGCCAGCGAGTCAGAGCTGGCCTGGCTGGCTGCCTCAACAACAATAGAGTAGCCTGAGGCGGTTGCGGAAGCAGAGCAAGGCCAGGGCCAGGCACCTGAAGGGGTGGGCAAGCAGAGCCCAGTGCAACAACAGTCGAGACTGAGGCGGCTGAGCGAAGCCAGGTGCCTCGTGTGAGCAGCATGCGCTGGGTGGGCCTCTCAACTAATCCCAGGCGAGCAGGAGGGCAGAGCTGGCCAGCTGACTCAGCGTCTCGTTCACCCACAGCAGAAGAACTGTGGTGCTCCAATGGGCTCTGCTCCGCTTGGCAGCGTCTGTCGGCTCTTCCCAATCCCCAGACTCCAAATCTCAGCCCCGGACTCTCAGGCTGGTGCCCCTGAGAGATGGGGCCCGGGTGCCCTGCACCCCTAGCACCTATGGGTAAGACGGCCCTGCATGGAATGCAAATAAACTGGAAGCTCATGTAGATCCGGCTGCATTGATGAAGCGTGATAGCTGCCAAGGGGCTCCTGCCAACAACAGATATTTGGAACATATTTGACATTTGAAGCGCAAGGGATTTCCACTCACCAAATATACATTGGCAGCCTCAGAGGAGCTTTCAGGCTCAATCTGCAACAAAGAGAAAAAGATGGCAAAGATCATTCATCGGTCACAAACCGATGTAGAGTTGGAAGGGGCTGTTATAAGAATTTGAGGTCTCAAATATATAAATTAAATGCTCATAAATTTACAAGGCAAACACATAAGTATTTAAACCACATGTCCGAAATAGTACAGGAGAGCAATCCTGGAACCATTCAGAGACTCTTCCAAATTGACTTCAAATATTTCTCTGCAAGGAGGACGGAAATAGGAAAACCTCTCCATTTTTGCTTACCAGTCTTAAGGGTGTATTTGTGTATGAATAGGGTGAGTCTGTGACCTGGATTCAGGAATTAAATATTTACCATCACAAAAGAATGGCCGGGCTGCCCAGGTAAAGCAATCAGTGACCATTGTCAGGTATCCTGACAGACAGGATTTCTGTTGTAGACCGCATGCTTTTGTGATGTATGTATGATGTTTTGGGGATGGTCTTGAGCTACAGGGTGGGCAATTTCAAGTGTCTATATAAGGGCTTGCACACCATGGTTCTGGGTTCCTCCTCCCTCCTGCATGTGGTGAGTGAGGACTCTGTTGCAACAGTTTAATAAGGCTTACTAGCTGCTTTGCTTCTCAATATTCTCTGGTTGGCCTCTGTTATTTTCTCCTACCGATAGAGAACCCACTTAAGGACTCTGTATGGGCTCTTGGATACCCCATAAGGGGAAAGGAGCAGGTTTTTTCTACATCAGGACCCTGAGGATAATCTGGTCCAACCCCCTGCAATGCAGGAAAATGCAGCTGTCCCATATGGGAATTGAACCTGCAACCTTGCCATTCTCAGCAGCAGCACCCTGATAACTACGCTATCCAGGCAGGAATGCGCCGGCAGCTGCTGAATGGTCCAGTTCTTGTTAGTGCGAATTTCCAGTCGGGCGACTGTTTATTGTTTCTTTAACTTACTGAATTTCATTGCACGCACCCCCCTCCCTGCCGCCTGAAAGGGTAAATTCAGATGAAATTGGGGAGGGGGGGATATGGGCTTGCATTTCTATGTCAATGGGTGCTCTGAAATAACTACATGCTTGAGGAGTATTTATCTCATGACAAATACCCACCCCAAGTCACTTACCTCAGGCTTTCTCTGTCCTGGTGGAAGAACATTCTCATATATTTGAGGGGTGGGTGTGGCCGCAGAGGTTGTGGTAGAAGTTTTGTCTTTCCTATGACGGACACCTGGAGGGGGGGAAAGTCCGGGAATAAAGTCTTAACACGGAATTCCTTACTCCGGTGTAGACTCTACTGATCGGCCTGCGACAGCAGTGTAACTTCAAGCAATCTTCAGCAAAATGATTCCCTTACTCAGTTTTCCGTATTCTTATGAGTCTTGCATATTGTAAGCCACCCAATGATCTTTGAAGAAGGGTGATATAGAATAACAACAACAACAACAACAACAACAACAACAATAATAATAAAGCAATGCTATTGGAAAGAAGTGGGTCAAACTAATGGAGAGGACATAGAAGTTTCTAGGATAATTTAGGAAGTTGCTCTATGGACCACGATTGGCCAGAATAGCAGGGCAATAAGGCCTCTATACCTGGCAAAACTGTACAGCTATTCCACTAAGTTTTTTTTAAAGTTGAATTTTCTGAGTTCTGAAAACAACAAACTCCCAGTGACTGAATAAGCAATGCATGAGGTGTGTTTGAATGAAATGCAGTGGACACTGAGGTCCAGCGCCGAGGGCCTTCTGGCGGTTCCCTCACTGTAAGAAGTGAGGTTACAGGGAACCAGGCAGAGGGCCTTCTCGGCAGTGGCACCCGCCCTGTGGAACGCCCTCCCACCAGATGCCAAGGAAATAAACAACCACCTGACTTTTACAAGACATCTGAAGGCAGCCTTTTTAATGTTTTATATTTTATCGCATTTTTAATATTCTGTTGAGAACCGCCCAGAGTGGCTGGGGAAACCCAGCCAGATGGGCGGTGTATAAATAATAAATAAAAATTATTAATAATTGATAATAATAATAATAACTCCACAGAGTGGAAGCAACCTGGGTTCCTCGTCTGCTTCCTGTCCCATAGCAGGAAAAGCACCAAAACAGTCTGGAAGGTTCCAGTGGTTCGGCCTGTTGCCAGATCATGCACTGGCTGAGGACCCCAGGAGCTCAGAAGGGTCTCTACGTAGGCCAAACCCAGCTGTGCTGCCACTCCCCTCTAGTCTCTCAGGCAGCTGTTTCAGCAGTGTGTGGGTGCACTGTGGCTTTTGAATGGGAGCCAAGCTTGTCTGTGTGGCCCCAATGTGTGTGAGTGTGAGTGAGTAAGTGAGTGAGTGTGTTGTGTGTCTGTTGAGGCCATCAGCAGCTCAATGAAGAGCGACCCCTGAACTATGCATACCCTTCAACATTTGTCCAATGAAAATAGGGGCGTCCATTTCCATAATGGTAATTTTACTATTTATACCCCACCCATCTTCCTGGGTTGCCCCAGCCACTCTGGGCAGCTTCCAACATATATAAAAATAATAATAATAAAACATTAAACATAAAAAACCCTTTCCTATACAGGATTGCCTTCAGATGGCTCGGGGGGAGGGGGCAGATAACTCTATACCCTCCAACATTTCTCTAATGAAAATAGGGACAAACTAGTCCACATCCTCCAACATTTATCCAATTTATTTATTATTTATATGCTGCCCATTAAACTTCAAAACAAAACAAAACACCATCCCTATACAGCACTGCCTTGAGGTGTCTTCTAAAAGTTGTATAGTTACTTATCTACTTGGCCCGGGGGTCGCATAACTCCACACCCTCCAATATTTCTCCGATGAAAATAGATGAACCACAGAGCCTAGGTCTTGCCAATCAGAAGGTTGGCAGTTCAAATCCCTGTGACGGGGTGAGCTCCTGTTGCTCGGTCCCAGCTCCTGCCAACTTAGCAGTTCGAAAGCACGAAGTGCAAGTAGATAAATAGGTACCGCTCCAGCGGGAAGGTAACAGCGTTTCCGTGCACTGCTCTGATTTCGCCAGAAGCGGCTTAGTCATGCTGGCCACATGACCCGGAAGCTGTCTGCGGACAAACGCCGGCCAGTAAAGCGAGATGAGCACCGCAACCCCAGAGTCGGTCACGACTGAACCTAATGGTCAGGGGTCCCTTTACCCTTTACCTTTACCTAAGGAAAAGCAGAGCTTTCCAGGATCATATCAGAAACAGGGATGTCTTCTCTAAATCAGGGGTGTCCCTGCAAAATAGGGACACTTGGAGGGTCTGAACCATGGAGCCAGTGCTGGTGTTACTCACGGAGGAAGACGTAAATCAGGGTTCCCATCAGCACCAATATCACAGCCAGAGATCCGATAATGGTCCCAGCGAGGGCTCCAGCAGAACCGGAAGTAGGAGAAGCTAAGGCTAAGATGGGGAACACAAGCAGAGCTCCCAATTCTATTTAAAATAATTACCGTAATTTCTAATAATCCAATAATCTGCTGCTAATAAATAATAATAATAATAATAATAATAATAATAATTAATAATAATATTTATACCCTGGCCATCTTCAATAGCCACCAAAATCTGGCGCCTGAGGCAGATATTGTGCTTTCCCTAGCGCTAGACAAGGCAAACAACAAAATGCTTTCATGTGTTTCAGGAGAGAAATCAAGAAGTCAACATCAGACAAGAGAAAGTTGAGAATCCCAGCAGCTCCTCCCTCCAGCCTTGCTGGCTCTTCTGTTCAGCTATAACATGGGTAGGCAAACTAAGGCCCGGGGGCCGAATCCGGCCCAATCATGTTCTAAATCCGGCCAGCGGACAGTCCGGGAATCAGTGTGTTTTTACATGAGTAGAATGTGTGCTTTTAGTTAAAATGCATCTCTGGGTTATTTGTAGGGCATAGGAATTTGTTCATCCCCCTCCAAAACAAATAGTCTTGCCCTCCACAAGGTCTGAGGGACAGTGGACCAGCCCCCTGCTGAAAAAAATTGCTGACCCCTGTGCTATAACATTTCCTGCAACATTGAGTTAACAGGAAGGTAGACCTGTTTAGGGAAGCTTTTAATGTTTGATGTATTACAGTATTTTAATATTTTTTTGGAAGCTGCCTAGAGTGGCTGGGAAAGCCCAGCCAGATCGGCGGGGTATAAATAAATAAATAAATAAATTATTATTATTATTATTATTATTATTATTATTATTAACCTGAAAACTAAGATTATGGTAAAGGAGAGAAAAAGGAAGGGAAAGAGACCTCCCTTTTGAGCAAAACGCCCATTCTATGAAGTTGAAAAGAGAGCTTTCGGACTAGCTACCACATTGTGCTGGGAAACTAAAAGCTGAAAAGAACCACCCCACAGCTGGAACCTAAAGGAAAACTTATTTTCCAAACCTTCATTATTTGCTTGTGATTACTGAACTCAGCAGTTGTGCCTGGACTTCTCTAGGGCGGTAGATGTACCGGGGGCAAGTTCATTGGAGGATATAATAATCATAAATCTAGTCAGGACCTGAACTGAGGACACAACTTTGGAGGGATAAAAAGGTTACTTCTAAAGGCATCAAGTTCACCTCTTAAAGATGGGAAAGGAAGCGAGATTCATACCTAAGACAGTTAGGTTTGCATTCCCTGTTTTGTATATCACAGGTAAACCCACTGTCAATGTATACATTCCCGAGTCATTTAGCCTTAAAAGTGTGATGCGAAGGGAGCAAAGCGAGTCGACAGTCTCCCTCCCTGTGAAGGCAGGTCCATTTAGCCGATCCTCAAATGGAATTCTGGCATAGGTAAATATTCGATTTTTGTTTTCAAGTGTCCCTCGAAACCAGGTGCAGCCGCGGTATGGCTTCAGATCAACACTTCCTGGTGTTAAGGTGACACTCTGTCCTTCTCTCAGCTCATTTGGGTCAACTGTGATGTGTATTTCGGTCTTGCCCTGGGCTTGAGTCAGCAGGAAGCAAGAACTCAGGATGGAGGCTGTGTTGTGGAGAAGAAAACAAAAACACCTGTACTAGGCCAAATATATATATACCGTATTTTTTGCTCTATAAGACTCACTTTTTCCCTCCTAAAAAGTAAGGGGAAATGTGTGTGCGTCTTATGGAGCGAATGCAGGCTGCGCAACTATCCCAGGAGCCAGAACAGCAAGAGGGATCGCTGCTTTCGCTGCGCAGCGATCCCTTTTGCTGTTCTGGCTTCTGGGATTCAGAATATTTTTTTCTTGTTTTCCTCCTCCAGAAACTAGGTGCGTCTTATGGTCTGGTGCGTCTTATAGAGCGAAAAATACGGTGTATATATGCAGCTGCCAATAGTCATGAAATTTGATTCAGTTCACATGAAAATCAGTCTCTCAGATTTGCATGTCCCCAAACAGTACAATAATGAAAATAAAGACATCCTTCAAAATTCTCACTTTACTGAATTCTATGATGTAGTTCCCCTACCAAGTTGAATATTGCGGAGAAAATTCGCATAAATATGAAATATGTTCTTAGCAGAACATAATATACAAAAGTGCATTACATTAGAAGAACTTGCTTCTGAAAAGTGCGCACAATTAGTCAAAACTGCACACAAAAGCATGTTTATTCAGAGAAATGTCCACTAATTTGTGGAACAATTTCAATGAGCATTTAAAAATAAAATCACAAATTGCTTCAAAGTGCAGAGAACTGAGTTTGAGATTGGAAAAATGGGATACGGACAAAATCAAAACTGATCCCTACATGGAAGTACGTAAGTTCCATTAAACTAAACAGGGCTTTCTTCCGAGTCAGAATGCGTGGGAATACACCGTACGTCTGTTTCTATGTTGCTTTTGTGTGTGATCAACTGCATGCTTGCAAACTTCCTTCTTTCTGCTCCCACCCCTTCTTCCCTCCTCTCTCTTATACAAATGGACACGGCCACAGGGAATGCAGCCACAAAGAAAGAGGAAAACCTGTTGCGGTTCCCTTTCAGCACCTTGCCAGATGCCTAGGCTTTCTCTGACCCCCCTGTTTGCCTCACCTGCTAGGCTCCGATGACGCTCGTGCCTCCTCCCCATTGTGGGACTTCACACACTGGATGCTGCCGCCAGCAGGACCACCAGGATGCCGGGCTCCTCCGGCCGCTCCTGCTTCCAACTCAGCCGCCAGTGACCCCCAGGTCACTCGCTGTTCTTGGCTGGACCCTACACCCCAATGAGACAGGAGGCTGGGTGGGACAACTCTGCTTTCTTGCCCAG